AATTTGATATAGACTATAGTTTGAACAGTTAATCGGATGAGAAGATGAGTTGTATGAAACGTTTTGAATAAGTCGGATGGAAAAGAAAAAATTGTGCAAAAGTCAAATATTTCCTTTGTTTCACTTGAATATAAGAGTTTCTACTTTAAAATTTAAAATTTTGTTCTCAATTTGCTGACACTTGAATCTGTTGTGCCACCAAGGAGACTAGCAAATGTTAAAAACTCAGGATTTCTCAATGCATGCTACAATGCAAGCGGTCTTCTCATATGTTCCCTCTGTGAAAATTTATGTAAAAGGTTTATTAACAAACATTTAATATGAAAGCCATCAACATCCTGGATTTCATTAAACAAGAAATACTTGATCCGTCGTAATAAGGATACAATCTTATCTGAGAGATCATTGACAAATCAAAAGCACGGATCTTTCGCTTCCGTCACTTTTCTTCCGCCTTCATGGATAACACATATTGTTTAGAACTTGCCCCCGAGATAACATTCAATAATGCTCCTCCTGAAAAAAAACGATGGGTTTCGCTGCAGATATGTGTATGTTTTCGATTACTCTTTCTCTTCTCGTTTTGATTTTTCCCATGGATGTAGTTAACTTGAGAGTTTTTAATGATTTTGATGATTTGTCTTTGTTAGGGTTTATGAATGATTAGGGTTTGAAATTAGCGTTTTGTGATTCATTGATCATCAATCAAAGCCGTTTCTTTCATCGTAGTATCAAAAATTTGATTTATTCAATAAAATTAAAGTCGATGATGGTTGGTATGTTATGAAATTCAAGTCGGTATGTTTGCTTCTGATTTTGCCCTAGTTTTTTTTTGTGATTTTGGTCTTTGTTTGTTGGGGTTAATGACATTATGGAATGGAGAACTTTTAGCATTTGCGATTAGTGTTCTTGTGATCCTTTTATTTTGTAATTATCTTTTACGCATTGGTTCTTTGATTTTATTAATTGGATTATTTTTTACCTTTGGCTGAAGGTAATTTCCCCCCTCTCTAGAGACAATATTGCCGAATTAAGCACTACAAGTATTAAAAACTATAGTTCAACGATTTAACATGGAACAAAGGTATATATCTTTCAAATAAGCTATATTATTGACAACTCTATAGTTGATTGTGTAAGTTGGTATGTTAATCTTTTTTAAGTTATGGTTCCTGTTTTATTCTAGATGTCCACGGATCTGCATGCTAATGTGAAAAATGAGCTCAAAACATTTGAGGGCATAAGTTGAACGTACAAAAGTTTCATGCTCTAGGCTGAAAAGAGGCAGACCTTATTTCGCTTCGGGAGATGGTGACGAAACTGGAACAAATAGGAAAAAAAGAGGATTTACCTATTGTACAAGCATCAACTATAATAACGTTTGTGCATGAATTTTAATTTTTGTGAAGTTTACTTCTATATTTAATTAAGGTATTCTCTAATACTTCTTATTACTTCTCATATAATACTATATACAAATAGAGGAAGTACAGAAGAAACGGAAGTTATCAGATGTTGTCGAGTGTTTAGAATTCAATCAAGCTGTAATCTATGTCAAGAGCATGGGTAAAGCTAAGGAATTGGAGAGGTTGTTGGTTGAATGGAAATTTCAGCAGCTTGCCTTCATTCTGAGATGACACTAGCAAATAAGTTATCTGTTTCATTCTAAGATTCCACAAGAAGATGCTCTTACTCTATGATATAGTTCACTACAATGGAGTGCAGAAAGACAACAAAAGAGTCCTTGTGGTTGACTGATATGGAAGGGATTGATAGTGATCTTGAGCGGATCAACGTTGTTATACATTACGACATGTCAGATTTTGTTGATAGATATATTCATAGGGTAAATATTCATATTTAGATCCCGAAATTACATAATTGACTTCACACTGAAATGACTTTTGTAACGTTACATGTTTTGCATTGTGTAATGTTTAGGATGCCAGAGTTGGCAGGTTAAGTAGAAAGGGTCTTGCTATCACATTTATTGCATCTAAAATAGATTGTGAGGTTCTTAATCAGGTATGGATTTTGTTCTTATTTGGAATCTAATATCCACTTGATATTGAGTAGTTAAAGTAGCCATTTCAAATTTTTGACAAAAGATAAATCTAAAATTTGGTTGTAAGTAGAAACAATTTTTAGGAAGTATATAGATAATTTTTTAGTTAGAGTAAAGAGTTATTTATATATTCATTTTTGCCGTAATAAACCAAGTTGTATTTATATATTTTTAATTTATTGTAAGATTTATTACAATAATCTAGTAAAGTTAACTTATTAATCACCAAAACATTTGCCAAATATTCATCATTATTATTATTCCCAAATCTCAAAAACGTAGTTTCGCAATCTCGTCTAAAATATGATTACACAACTTCTTCAAAAAATGTTTTACATGCAAACCAACAATCAAACAATCTTCTTATTTACATCCATTATAAATCTACTATCTACTTTACAAAAAAAATATGTTTTTAAATCCAATAATATTTTACTGTTGAAATATGTTCTTTACCACCACCTATAGAAAATGTCTTTATGAACTCATTCACCCAACTATATATCTTTTTCTTTAAGCCTAACTATACGTCTTTTTACTTTCACTTTTGCATAGTTTATTTAATCAACAAAATTATGGACTCATAAAATATTTTGGATGAAAACTATATCACATAGCAATAATTGATGATGTATTTATAAAAAGTTAAAATAAATAGAAACTACTCCATTGCAGTGATTCTGTGACCAATCAATAAAGTTGAGATATAAAAGAAAATTAGTTTGAAATATTCAAAAACTGCACATTGGGTAATATAGACTATAGTTTGGAAAGTTAATCAAATGAGAAGATGAGTTGTATGAAACATTTTGAATAAGTTGGGTGGAAAAGAAAAAATTGTAGAAAAATTAATTACTTCCTTTGTTTCACGTGAATATAATATTTTCTACTTAAAAGTTATAATATTTAAAAATTTGTTCTGAATCTTCTCGCCACTTGAATCTGTTGTGCCACCAAGAAGACTGGCAATTGTTAGAAACTCAGGCTTTCTCAATGTATGCTACAATGCAAGCGGTCTTCTCATATGTTCCCTACGTGAAAACTTATGTATAGGTTTATTAACAAACATTTGATATGAAAGCCATCAACATCCTGGAGTTCATTAGATAATAAATACTTGATTTGTCGTAATAAGGATACGATCGTATTTGAGTGAGCTTATGTCCGTGTTTAATCCAAGAGTATATTTAACTCATTTTAATAACATATATAACAATGATCATGTTAATTACTAACTTTTTTTCTCTTATATAATAAGATTAAGTGATTAACTGCTTTAATTAGTTTCTCTTATGTACATATTTTTTTCAAAATATATATTTTCAAAGAACTGTAATTATAATTTTTTGTTTCGTTTTTAGGGTTAGTAATTTACTATAATATCTTACTTTTTATATACATTTAAAAAAAAATTAATTGTTATCCTTTTACTTTTAGGATTTGTTGTATAATTTTTTATAAAATGTTCTGTTTTAAATGTGTCAAAATTTGATAGATAGACTTGACACATGTCACGATTGTATGAGTACTAATTTTGAAAACTAAACTTTATATAAAAAAATATATTCCTCTAATCTTATATAGAAAACCAAAATGAATTTTTTTTGAAAAAGAACCATTTACTTGCGAAGATGTCGATTGTGAATATGATCGTGGATAAAACAGTGGAAGTCGTGAACTGAAAAATTCAACTACGAATTCGAAAAAGAAATCATTTCATTTCAAAGAGAGCTTCTAGATATGATTAAGACAAAATATTCTACAGCATTTAAAGACTAAACACACTATATAGTTGAGTCTATGATAATAGATAACAATCGTTTTTGTTTTGTAAGAAAATATTAGAGAACAGTCTCAATCAGAAATTCGAATCCGGTTGTATTGCGGTAACCTCCCAACTGTATAAACCATTGTCTCCAGTGTTTTCGAATAGAAATTCCATGAACGAAGTCATGAGTTTCGGCTCAAACGAAGTCGGGAAGACCAAATCATCCAGTTTCAAGCAATAATCTTGATCCAAGCCTTGCAGATGCAAGTAGCTTTTGATATGGAAAAGCCTGTAAAACATAAAATGTTTCGTTCATACATAGATCTGTACTGTAACGTAGAGTGTTTAAGTCTCAAACAATGGATACGTGGTGCGTGCCAAAATCTGCTTTATCCCGGATTATCTATATCCAATCTCTTTAACCGCAGCAACTAGGTCAGATCAAGACGCTAAAGTTTATGACAGTGATGCAATGTCAAGCTCTCGAGCAGTGGAGAACAAGAAAGAATCTGAGCAAATGATTTATCAGAGAGTTTGCAAGAACTCAAGGACAAGATCCATAAGAATGTCCAAGAAAGATATCAGTAGTTTCGGGGTCGACCAAGAGTTGCTTTGGGTACAAGTAATAAAAAAAAAATCGTAATCAAGAAATTCAAGAGACAGCTTCTCCATGTTGCGAGACCTGGCAAAATCGATCAAGCTATCAATCTCGTGTGCCTTGCTGCTGATACAGAGATGGAAACTCATGATTTTGGGAGCTGAATAGTTATCTAGGGTTTTGTTTATCGAGTTAGCGTCTGCACTACGGCAATCAATGGAAAGAAAAGCTGTTTCGGACCGTACATGCCTCCATCGCTTGGACAAGACAGAGGTTCTGACTATGCCTAGGCCCGTCCCAATACATGGGACAAATTGGGTCTGGACCTATGCCCAAGTTCTACATTTACATGGTGAAAATAGCCAATTTATTCACGAACTATAGCCAGCGATTAATGTCCTAACCTAGGGTTATCATATTTAGGACTGCGGGCTGACCTGCAATAACCCGGAAGTATACCAGGATCGCCGCAGAGCAGGCTAAATGGGACGGGTTAGTTTGCATTGACACCTTAAAACCAACCAGCAAGAGAAATTTGGATGTAAAACCAGACTAACAAAATCATTCAACTTAATCTAGAGAATCTATTAGTCGTGTAACCAAAATTAGAATACAAAAGACTTAAAAGGAAGAGAGAGTGTATTGATTTGGTGAGAGAAGACAAAACAAGTTCTTGAGACATAGAGAAGTGTCTACATTCTCAAGTGGAGCTTTCTGTTTTCTGTTTCTTGGCCTTCTCAATCAGAGGTTTCAACTGTTTCTTCTCTGCAAGAAGTTTGAGGAAGTTGAACAAAAACGGAATGTAGTTATGCTTCCTCCTAATGTTCTCTGTTCTCCATTTCATGAACTTCTCTTCCTCCATTACAATCTTATCACTCACAGCCTCGATCCCACTGCCTACCTCCTCAATCAACGCATTAACTGCTTCTGCTTCGCTTTTGTCCACACAAGTATTAGCCTGCTGCAACAGCTGCTCCCTCTGCCTTTGAAGCTCCTTGAGTTCTGCTGTGTAGATATCCTTCCTGTTTTTAATGACAGCCAAAAGATTGAACCTAATCTCGCTCTGTGAGTACCTCTCAATCCTTTCTTGGATCACTGGTTGAACCATTTTCAGCCACTCGATGCCAGTTTGGTCTCCGGGGCATGGACCAAGACTGATAGGTCCTTCCTTGAGCCCATCAAGCTCGTACAAGACTCCATCCACAGGTATGTAGCTTATGAAATGGTATACGTCATCGTCTTTTGTAGCAGCTTTCTGTTCCTCTGGGACAAATGGCTCAGGCCTTGCGAAACTGTTGTGAGCAGCCCGGATTGCCTCACTGTTATTGATAGCCAAACCCTTAAGGTCAGATGGAAAGTTCTTGGTGAATTCTTTCAGCGCCGATAGTTCAGGCCCGATGTCAACCTCTGGAGAGTTCAAGAGGATAGCCAGGATCGCTTGGGTTGCACAAGCATTGTTAATGACCTATAAAATTGGAATTTTGAGAAAACGAATGAAAAGACAATACTATTAATCAAAATCTTATGCTTATGTTATCGACACAAACCTGATTTGCGAAAAATAAGTTCGAAACTTGATCTTGGATCGTTGGACGCTCATCTTTTTCCCCAACTTGCCATTTGAAAAGAAAGATCAGACCGTATACGGGTCTACAAGGAAGCCACATGGTTGACAAGCATTAATCAAGAAGGGCACATATATAACATACAAGTAAAAAATCTAACTCAAAGACTTTGGGGTCTGGCTCAAAAGAATATCATCTATGTTCCATACCAGAAAACGAGTACAGAAACTTTACAAGGGGCTAAATAATTTTGGATGCAACTATTCACCTGAGGTTATTAAGAGAATCAAGATCCAGGGAATACAATTCTTCAACCTACAGGAAAAAGAGTCAAAATCAATAGGGATATCCAAGTGGTGGAAACTGATGCTAGAAATAGTTGCAATAGCCAATTTCATCTGTTGAAGAACGGATTTGGACATCAAAAAGGGACGACTAAAGGTATCAATATAGGACATAACAAGGCATGAATCAACACAGACACTTAATTGAAAGGGTAATTAAAGGACATGAGTAAGAAAAATATTAAGAAAGTTCCGATTTTTTTGGCTACAACATAAAGAGCAACTTACAGCAAGAAGCACAACTTCTTTGCGCAACATTCATTTCATCACCATTCCTATATGTTTATTCCTTAGATTCTTAAGAGACAGACATGACTTGATAAAGTTTCCACACATAATGAATAATTTATCTCCAAGCACATGTATCATGCAAGATTATGTATTGTTCTCTATCTCAAGAAATAAAAGTTAAATTGTATACACTATAAGAGTATTTTATTACCTGCACTCCTTTGACTTGCATTTGTTGAATAAGCTCTGTAAAGACACCTGCCCTTGCACACATACATATAAACATAAGCAAAACACAGAGATCGGGATACAATGTGACAAATCATGCATATAAAGATGTTCCCATCATGAGCGACAAACAAGACTCCACCACAGAATATCAATAGAAACAGACTAAAGACAGTTCAAGTTTGCAGAAAACCCTTTAACAGATGTACACAAAATACCAACACTTTTTTACTATACAAACTCAAATATCATTCAAGCCGGATATGAATCTACAGGTTACTATGAACTCCTCAACAGTTGCAGCTAAAATAACCTTAACCCTCCAGAACTTTGAGATAATCTTCCATGTTTAAAATAGTACCAAACCCACACACAGAGACCACTTGAGATATTCCCACACACCTACTCACATCACCAGCACCAGGAGCATAAATTTCACAACTTTTCATCAACAAACTAAATTTCCAGTAGATAAAACTAGGGTTTAACATCTAAAGCATCGATTTCAAGTTCGATGCAGTGAGAATCAATTTGAAAGTAAACCCAAACCCAGTTAAGAGAAATAAAACACTAAGAAGAGACCAACGTACCAGGATCCGACTCAATCGTGCACCAAGACATGACGAAATTACCTGAAAATCACGAAGCGATCACGCAACGATACACCAAAAAGAGTAGAAGCCCAGACCAAGTTCAGAGGGAAATTTAAGGAGAAAGATGAACTTACTAGTTAGCTAAAGGAAAGGAATCGCCTTTGAAGCTTCTTCGAACCGAATGAGAGAGATTTGGAGATCGCTTTCGTGAATCCGATTTGGGAATTAGGGTTTAACTTAGCCAGATTTTATTTTCTCCTTCTCTTTTAAATAGTCGCTTTGCCGTGTTGCTTTTCCGGGTTTAGTCTGGACTCTGGTTCGTAATCTTATCGTTGGACCTTTTTTTCATATATTAAAATAAACAATATTTCCATATAAGTTGATCCATAGTTTAGCTTTGGTTCAATGGTTCATATACACAACTTAGTAAAAAATTTGGTTTGGCTAACATACTCGACCCTAAATTTTACTATTAGTTTTCTACGTTTTCAAAATTTTGATATACCATTTCCACAATAGACCACAAACATGTGAACGGTGCTATACGCCACAGGCGGTCAAGCCAGGGTACGATTGGTGGACAACAGAGGTCAGTCCATGTTCAATGCGCAATTGGGACAAAGTCAAGTTCTTGTAACTCCACAGGGGCCAGGGCTTTGTGGCTGTCAAAACCGCTGCTGAACAAAACACAACTTGAGTGCAGTAACTACAGATATGATCAAAGTGGTGAAAGCGAAGCAGATAAAGTTCAGTTAACAAGAGACAGTGTTGGCCATGAAGCCTTCTTTTAGGACAGTAACAAAGCTTATAGTACTAGTACTAGTAGCCAAGTTCTGAAAAGCTTCAATGTCAAAATACTAACAACAACACTACTACATGAAACATAATAAGGATTTGTCTTCAGGTTACATGGTAAAAGGGAATGAAGCTAACTTCTCTCAGCCCAGGAAATCTTTCATTGGATCCTCGTGGTGAACTCTCTTCATTCTGTAAGCTTCCATCTCTTCCGGAGTCACCTGCGATGAAATATGAGATTTTGATTAATCTCCACTAAATCAAGAATATGCTTCCAAGTTATTAGAGTGTTAAAATTGGTTTAAATGATCATTACATCGTTGTTATATTTGACATTGTATTTGCGTTTCCTCTCATCTTTCTCTTCCCTTCTACTGAGATCCTCCTGCACAACAAAAAACACAAGTGCTTAAGATAAATCTGCAGGACAAAGAAACGTCTTTGCAAGAGAATGAATGAGACTCTTTACCTTTTTAAGAGCATTAGCAAGAGCCTCCTCGTTCAATTCCAAATCTTCAGGAATATCAGTTCCCCATGAGGCCATTCTCTTCTCTTCAACCTTCTTTGGGCTCTCTGATCACCAAAATACAAAACCAATGTTGAGTGGCGTAAAACAACATTACATATGCAGAAATTCGTTCATAAGTCATTCCGCAGGAGCAATTTTTCCATTCAATGCAACCAAAAATACATAAGGAATTGAGTTTACACAGACCTTCAGATGCTTCTTTGCGAGCAATATTAGCCTTCATCAGATCAAGGGCAGCCTCTGCAGCTTCAATTCCAGCAGAACCTGTGCAGTAACTATTGCGAATGATCTGCTGGCAACATTTATATCCCCATTGATGATCTTTCCAATATGATCCCCACACACTAGTGTGATTGTTAGCATGAACATCTTCTTCATATTTACTCTTTGGCAATATCACCTCCTGTACACAACAAACACGTTAAGAATGAAACAGATCCACACAAACTAAGTAAACTTATCATAAGCTGTTCATATCACAATAAGAATGCAACAGGTAATTGAAGAAAACCATTACAAACCGTACCTGCCCCTTTATAATCCTCCCTGCTCGATCATACTCAACTTGTCTTTCGCTTTGCCCAAGCAAAAGCTCCATTGGAATTTCATCTTCTGTAGCTGCATTCCCGTACTTGTCCATGATTGTGTCCTTTGTCTGAGATTTCAGTTTCTCCTTTGCAACCTGAAAGCTCTTATAGAGCAATTCAGCTTGAGAGGGAGCCGCTTGCATATGCATGTCCTGTCCCTTGTCAAATGCTTCCCACGAATGGATGTTTAGCTGTTTGAACTCCAAAGCTTGGCCACTGTTTCTATATTGATTATCTCCCTGCATAGATGATACAAGTAAAACAGATGGTTGGTATTTTATATCATCAAAATATATAATACAACCACATGATCCATGATGATCATCAACTAACCAGATAAAACTTGTCATTTGGATCTGCATCTGGAAGCGGGTCTTCACGCATAGAACGAGTTTTAGGGTCATAATGAGCTGAGTTGACATCGAGGTTCAACAGGTATTTTGCAGTGTCTTCTCTGATACGCAGATTCCTGAAATTAAGAGAAGATTGCACCATTAGTGCATCAAATTAAAGCATCCAGCCAAAATGTGATGAGAGACAAGATATTTTGTAGATGAAGAATCATGAGTAGTCCATACCTTACAGTTCCTGTGCTACCACCACCAGTTGTTCGAACACGCTTTTCGACCTTTGCAAAATCCATCTGCCTGCTCTCATCAACCTTAGCTTCATCAACCCTTAAGTCATCTTCTTCTTCTTCCCCATCACTGGTTGCATCATCACCTTTTTCATTATTGTTCTTCTCCTCTAGTTTCTTAAGTTGCTGCTCCTTCAAGTACTTCTTTCGAGCATCCTCTTTTGCTTCATAAAGATCTATAACACGATGGTAAGTTGAAGGATCATAACCATTCCATCGGTCTCTCTTGCCATCGTAGTCAAGCTCAAAACTCTCAATTTTCTCATCAGGTGCAATGTTCTTGTTTGTGTACTGTGCCCCAACCTTACGAGGCCTATCCATACAAGCTTTCGCATTATGCGTCATTGCACCACAGCTTCAAAAAGAAGACAGCCCAAGTTAGAGAATGGAACTAAAGAAAAACGCTCTCCTACTTTCAATATAGCCAAGGTTCTCTAAAATAAACAAACATTCAAGGGACTGCATAGTAAAACAAACATCTGAAAGCAAAGAAACAGACGGAAAAAAAAAAGGGGAAGGACATACTTTTGACACGCTCCCTTGCGGTATTTTTCAGCTTGAAAGATCTTTGCACCTCTGTCATACCATGACTTAGTGTAATTAGGATCACTCTTCCATTTCCTTTGATGCTTCAAACTCTGTCAAAACCAACCAATAAAAAAGAGTATTCAGTGTGCATGTTCAAACAAGAAGATTCAGAGAAACAAATGAACCAAAAAAAGACTTAGCTTACCGGTTTTTCAGAATTAAGATACCAAGGAGCAGATGACATATACTGCGGGATATGAGGATTGATTTCCTTTCCATCCTCATCAACCTCAGCTGGAGCAAGCCCGGCTTTACGAGCTTCCTCTAATTCGATTTGCTTCCTATGATCTTCCCTAGACTTAAAAGCAACTGTAAAAACGCCCAAAAACATGTCAGAAAGATAAAGGATACAACTTTAAGAAAAATAATCGCTAACAAAGAACCAAATCAATAAAAACAGAAACTTTAAATAATAAGACTCTTAAGAATCACAATTTTTTGGACCTAAAAAAACCAAAACCAGAGAGAACAAATGATACGACAACCCCCAATAGCCAAAACAGTAAGAACCCTATCTTCATGATTACGAAAGTAGAAATCAGAACAGAGATTCTTGAAGAGAAATTGAAGGAATCAATCACAACCAATCACACAAAGCACCAAATCAATAAGAATAACAAAATTTGAAACAGAATCGTAAGTCTAACAAATTGGATCAAGTCAAAAAACAAAACAGAGAGAATCAATGATAAGACAACTTCAAAAACAGTAAGAACCTAAAATTCATGACAAAAATTACGAAAGTAGGATTCGAAATCGAGATTCTTGACCACAAAAAGGGAAATTAAAAGCCAAATCGAGAAACTGATTCAAGTGAATTAGAAGAAAAATTGAAGGAAATGGGTACCTGAAGCCGTCGCCATGATTATACGATCGTGAAGCTTCGACTTCTCTCTCTCTCTGAAGCGAAATCTCAAGGAACGAAGATGAAGAAAAGGTTACGGCTTTATCGCTAAAATGTGATCAAATATGGGCCGTTAAAAAGCCGAAAGGCCCATTTATTATCAAACACCTCTCTTTTACCCCAAAACCAAAGCAAGAACAACGTCGTTTTGGTCACTAATTTGTACTTCAGCCAAAGCAAGATTTTGGACATGTTTGTTCTCCAACTAAAACAAGGTCAAGACTAGGTATGATGTCGTGTATGAAAAATGATACTCTACTAAGGGTCCGAATGGTAACAGTGTATTTGGTTGTGCGGGAAAAACGGTTTTATAGTGCGGTACGGTTCAACTGCGGTACGTGCGGGAGAAACGTATTTGCGGGACAAGTGCGGTTAGTATAAAATAAGCGGTACGAAATAAAGTTTGATTGATGAAAAAACTATTTGCGGTACACAATAAAATATTTGAATGATAAAAAAAAACTAACAAGCGGTACGCATTACCGATTATTGCTAAAAGTTTTTAAATTTTCAATCATAAAAAGCACAACACTATAAAAAAAAATACTATTATTGGTTTGAACCTAATTGTTCTGGCATATATTCGTTGTTCCGTAAAACACCAGTTATCAATACAATAAAAACCCTTGAAACTCTCCAGAGGTTGACACCTCAGCTTTTTTAAGCTTCGTGGAGTTGACACCTCATTTAAAATGAATAACCAATGAAAACATTCTAAATAATACAACTCATTTTTAATATCCAATAAGAACCTTTCTTTTTCCACATCATCATCTCTCATAGAAATATCAAAATGGCCCTAAAATCGTGGGCTTAGCCCAGTGCGGTCCAGGTATGAACACAAAATATTAAATCCGTTAAAAAGTAGACTTTGCGGGCAATCCCACTCGGATTACGGGGTTTAGCAGGTTATGCCGGAGATTGGCGGATTGCCCCGCGGACTGCATATATATAATAAAAATAAATATATCATATATATAATTAAATAGTTTATATATTTTTGTAAAAATAATATGTAAAATATGTGATAATATAAAATTTTTATTATAAAAAGGATAATATTAAAAAAAATTGATGGTGTTTATACATTAGCTTTTTAGGCTATTCTCAGAGTAACACATCATTAGAATTGATATCTAATCAAAATATAAGTACGGAACAAAACTGAACATGGTAATTAA